TGGATCGGGAGAGAGGAGGGATCAGGGATGTGATTCCTGCCTGAGAGGGGCAGGCAGGGGGATGGATCGGGAGAGAGGAGGGATCAAAGATGGTTTCGTCCTTATGGGAATATACACCCGAGGGAAATATTTAATGAATACTGTATCTCTGACGTTTTCCTTTCATCCTCTTAAAGTTTCTTATAATCATCTTCCAGAAACTCCATGCTTTAAGGTTCCTTTGCTGTTATGAGACAAAAACCCTTTTATTATTTCAGTTATTTTGCCAAACTGTGTGAAATATCTAAGGATAGACACAGAAAAATAAAATAATATTGGTTTAAAGAAGACTATTTAATGCAACATTATTTATTAACAAGCTGATGAAGTAGGACTTGTCGAAGGAAAGGCTTTATTTATGTGTTTCAGTTAGTCAGCAGTTTGAGACATTAATCAATTCGATGCAAATGCCTGGAAGCTTACTTTCTAACTTTTCAATCTTTTTTTTTTCTTGATGCTCCACTAGAAAATGCTTCAAGTGTTTTTCCTCTTTCAAAATATACTTCCGTCTGCTGTATATGCTGTCTGAGACTTCTTGTTCAGAATTCACTTGACCTGTTAAGTCATTTGTCTTCAGATTTCTGATCCGGTGTCTGGAAGTTTTGGCGATAGCTGCCAGTAGGGTTTTGATAAAGCTCTCTTGAGATTCAGAAACAATTTGCACGCTTGGGTAGCTGCAGTAGAAATAGCTGTGCTTCTTCCCTTATAAATATTGCATAATTCGTTTTGGGCATGCAATAAAAGAGAGTGGACGTGGTATTCCTATATAGCTTGTAACTACAGGAAAAAGAGGACTGAACAAAACGGGGCTTACAGCATCTTTTCAACAACAGCAAAATGTAAAGGCATTTAAAATAGTTCCCGTAATTGTTTTGCAACCGTGTTGCTAAGCATTGGCTTGTTTTTTTATAACATTAGAGAGTTGCTTAGTCCATTTTAATTATCTAAATCAGGGACAGGCAACACAAGACAAAGAAAGCAACAAGACCTGTGTTCCTTTTTCCAAATCGAATCTTAATTAGTTTCTAATTGAAAAGTCCTGGACCTGTAAAACACTCAATGTGAATTCACTGGTAATTAATCAATTCATTAGAAACAATTAGCATTGTTTCAAATGAAATCACTCAATGTTTTTGTCTGCAATAACATGTTATATTAGAATGGGAAGATCTAGATTCTAATAGGAGAAATGTTTCTATTCACACTGTTCGTGCAAAGATCAGACACCTTTTTTAAATACCTCTCAAGACTGCTGTGCCATGTTTTCACATTGTTCTAGAAATGAAAATTGGGAGAAAAAGGAAAATAAGAATATATAAGAGTATACAAATCTGGCTTCATACTGTAACAATTTATTTGAAGTAGCAGGCAATAGTATAATTTGAAGCCCACTCGCTCTGTGAGCTAACATTTAAAACCATTTTAAGTTAATTTATAAAATTAAGGAAAGGTTGTGTTAAATTTTAGTGTTGATTACAATTGATTGTGTTATTACCTTAACAATTTGATATTTGAATATATTTAATGTTTTAGCTTTACTTAAATGTGTTTGAAGAGAGTCTGCAGAGCCTTATGCTTGCAGGTCTCTTCAGTTGCTCAATTCAATTAAATTTATTTTTATATAGCGCCTTTCACAACAAGGTTGCCCCAAGGTGCTTAACAAAGCAAGTGACCACACATGTTATGAATACAGAACAGAAAAGACCAGAAGACAATGGAGGAGAGGAACCAAAAACTTCTTAGTAAGGAGAAAAGAAAACTCTAGGGGTCCAAGGTCAACTGGCTGCCCAACCCCTTAGGGGATGCTATCATTATACAATTAAAAAAAAAAGAAAATAAATGAATGAATGTTGTTGAAGTCATTAAGGCCTGAGATTGCTTGAACTGCTTTTAAATCACAAAGGAAAAGTTACACGTAAAGAGATTGTTGTTTGTAACAATTAGCTTGAATCTCAATCATTCCTCAAATAGGACTGATCAAACTGATTGAAAGTCCTCATTGAAAGGTCTCCTTAAGGATTCCAGACCAGCAGCTTGGCCTAGTCCAGTGCTGAAACCACACTGTGTGACAAAGAAGGCATCGTGATCTCACACTTAATCGTGCTTCCTCCACAGTTTCCACCTGTGGTCCCAGATCACTGCGGGTCTTAAAGTATTGTTCTGTTCTCTGAATTGTTTTTACAAGTGTGTTGCAAGATTCCAGTCCTCTTGTGGCCTCTCCACTGTTCAAAACTTAAGAGGTCAATTTAGTGTGAGACATTGAGTGAAGACGAGGAATTACCACTCAAATTTCAAAGAAGTAATGTGTATTTGTGGTCTCACTGCAATCCGGGATGTGACTTTATTTAATGTACAAGAAAAAACGCACGAATAATGTAACTGGGAAATGTATAGCATTGAATTTGTTATGCTAGCTGTTTATGCTGTAAAGATAAAATGCTGTAAATATTATACTATGCATTTACAGATGTTTAGTATAATATTGTATAGTTTATCTCTTGACCAAAATTGTGTTTTATGCTCATGTATGCCTGAAGGCAGAACTTCATAGTTTAGCTTTGAACTCGGGTCCATCCTTCCAGTTTCTTTATCCAGTACAGGACTGCAGAGCAAGTCTATCCCAGCAAGCAATGGGCACAAGACAGGGTACATCCTGGATGGCTTGCCAATCCATCACAGGGTACACACAGACACAGACATGCACAGAGTCACACCAGGGCCGGTTTTCCCAGTACCAGTTAACCTACCAGTATGTGTTTGGTGCTAGGAAACCAGAGCCTTAAGAAGGTTCTTTTTTTAATGTATGAAATTCCTTCAAAGAAGTGAAATGTTGAAATGGTCCTTGGGCTTTTTTGGATCTTTGTATTCACTCGGCAATAGCATAGCAAAAAAAGTTCATAAAACCTAAAAAAAGAAATAGGAGAAAAACACAAAGCACCAAAAGAACTTACAACCTGAAATACAGCACTAGTTTTAGAGATTGGTTTACGATGAAGTCTTTTAGTATTTTAGTTTGATTTTTTTGTTCGTTCACCTTCATTATGAAATGACTGAATTACAGTTTTAGACTCCAGTCTGAGCTAACTCTTCAGCTGAGCATTTCCTTTTCTCCATTTCCTTTTCTCCTCCTCTTCAGAAAAGAGCAACGAAAAGGAGCTTGTGAACACTATTTTGGATGTGGAAGATTTAGTGAAAAGTGGCAACAAACACAGGTATGGTTTGAAGATTATCGTAGTGGTGCAGTCAGAAAGGTTTGCCGATAGCTTTAAAGGCTGATGCAGTTGCTTCGAAGTAAACACAGGCAGAAAATGAATGTCTTCAAATATTATGTGAGCTGTATGATCCCAGCAGCAGTGATGAGACTTTGAAATATTGCAAAAGGCAACCCTGTTGTCTGGTTTTAGTGAGCTCTTTTGAAATACCACCTACAGTACATATTCAGTCACAGCATTGCAAATATAAACCACTGCTTTCTTTTTAAGCCGAATGAGTTGGAAAATATATGGAAAACTATCTAGAAATAAAAGATAGACTTGAGTGTGTTATTTTTAGTACAGCTGTATATATTTTTGCATGTACTGTATATACTGTACATATCAAACAGAGATGTGCCTTTTATAAACTAGAACCCTTTTTTTCTTTAGTACATTGATATTAGTTGATGTCAAAATAGGTGCTGCAGGTGTATGATTTATTTTCCACAATTTAGCAAGGGAGGAATAATAATAAGAAGAACAATTATTATTTTAATTTGGGAAAAATAGCCATCGGAGGTGGCTGTTGAGGCTGCCGTTGTATCAGGGGAATTGCAAAGGTGGTGATTCACTGTTATTAAAATGTAGCCAGATATTGAGGAAGGCAGGAAGGTGGGCTCAGTATGTGGGCACAGTGAGAGACGGTGTGGAACATTTTCTTGCAGCGGATTGATCTGATGACATTCATCAAGGTAAGAATATAAAAATGTTAAAAGGCATTTAAAAAGAAGTCCTCTGTGCCAAGCTTGTGAAATAGGCATTTTGAAATTTGTTTTAAAAAAAGCAATTCAGCATTCAAAGACTGTCGTAATGCTGCATGTCTTTTGTATTAAAATGTTTAAAATATTTGTTACAAATGTGTAAATACTGTCTCAAGCCTAGCTGCATGATTTGACCATATTTAAGAAACTTTTCTCTTATTAATTTTCCTGTTTTCAGTGAGAGTGACTTCGTGAAAAGATCAGAACCATTCAGTTAATTGGAAATTTAACCATGTCTTTTGTATGACCGATTGTATTGTTTTAGTTGCTTTTGTCTTCTAGTTTAGTGAGGTATATCAAAGTTTATTCCTTCTCAAAATGAAAAGTGCCTCATTCTAGTTCTGTCCGAAGTTTCTTAATGATTTTATTGAGAATACCTAGTGGGTGAAGAATTAAATCATACTAAGCCCTACTGTACATAGTGCTGAAGATCACTCTTCTCCAATATCCAGTTTTGTTCCTTCAAGCAGATGAACATAGCTATTTATGTTCCTTAATTAAGTACCTTAACTCACATCCTATTTAATTTTAGCTTTCTGTAAGGCGCAATAATAGCACACATCTTGTCAGAGCAAGTTTCAGCATGTGCTCCGGTTTTTATCTTCCTCTCGCACAACAACAGGTTGGTGTGTCTGTGAAAGGAGAGCCCTTCGATGCCTTTTCTCTCTTTCCTAAATTTAAAGAAAAGGAAACTTTTTCCAACAGGAATTTCCGTGACCATGAAGTCTTTTTTTTTTTTCCTTGACGGCTTCCCCTTGTTGTCCCGGTATTCCAGGGTCTGTCCGTATTACTTATCCCGCTCCCTGAAGCAGCAGGCTGACATTATCTTCACACCCTACAACTATCTCCTCGACCCAAAGGTGAATTGAACACGGTTTGTGTTTGTTCGAAATCGCAGTGAAGCAGGTAATGAGCAATTCACAATAAGCCATTCCACGTCCACCTCCCTAATGTACGGAGGTAGTTGCAAACCTTTTTTTTTGCCGATTTATTTTCTTCCCGGAGATTTGTATTTCCAAAAAACAGCTGTGTCTTACTTTTTTTGTAGATCATTATTTCAGCAGGAATGAAGCGACCGTTTAATGAGCTATTACTAAGGGAAGAAATTAGCTGCTCTAATGGGGGCTGTTAATCTCTTAATGTTGCTTCTGAAGCTCCCCTTGAAAAACCGTTAGCGTAAGCTTCTCCGTGCACGGATATTGGAGTTCGCGGTTCAGTCAAGAACCGCAGAATCTCAATTGAATCTGACTGCGCGCGGTTGAAATCGATCAGGCTCCAACATCTTCTGTAGGGCTCCACAGAGCTGCTATTGTTTCTCGTCTCGCCCTCATGTTGTCAAAAAAGTGGTAATTCAAGAAGCTGGAAATGAGCTTTCCTGAGCATGCAGCCCTGATGCTGACAAAAATCTTGTTAGCATCAGTGATGTTGTTGAGTCTGTCATATCCCCCCCGAGTTCCAGCCCTTTAAAAATGATTTTCAGACAGACAATCTTTCATCTCTTTTGTGTGCTATTGAAATGAGGTGCACACATGCTTAGGTAAAGATACCTTCGATTTCTAGATATGAACTGTAGCTATGGTACTGTTTTCCAGTACAGGGTTTAGTCTATTGAAAAAAAAAAAACATACATTAAATATACGAACCGTATATGAAGTAAAATAGTGGCAAAATAGCCTTAAACAGGTTATTATGCTCAGGGTAGAAATTTCAAAAAGTAGAGATGGTAAAATTTCAGTTGTGATTTTCATAATATCAATTTTTTCCTCAAGTGATATTTGCTATGGACTATATAAACCATCTTATGGCTTAAAATAAACTACATTTCAATTTCACAACAGCAAGAATCCAGGCATATTTAGCGGATTAATGTCATTACAGAGGTTACATCTTATTACTTTTGTTATTGCTATGCTATTGATTTTCATACTAATGTCATTTTATTGCTTCACAGAGTCGAAGGGCACACAATATTGATCTGAAGGGTGCTGTGGTTATTTTTGATGAAGCCCACAATGTGGTAAGCAGTTTTAGGAAATATTACTATTTGATCCATGCTAGACGTTTTTCTTTGTTCATCTACTTATCTGAAGCCTCCGTAAATAACGTACCCCCAACTAGTCTCAGTAATTCACCCCATTGTGTTAGAACACATGCTTGATGAAACACTGTGTAGGCCCACCTTGGTCAGATGCATCCTGGCTACATTAAAGCCTTTTAGACCCTGTGCGCCGATTCTCCGGCAAACAATTTCTGCCTTTCAGGCTCTGTGACATGTCTTTAGTTTTGCTTGCATGTAATTTACTCGGCCGATTCATCAAGAACGAAAAAGATAAAGGGCTTTCAGACCTCTTTCCTGTGGGTATTGTAAATTGCTAAGCAACATGGACGCATGCTGGTGGTGTCCCGCTCTGATTTATGAGAATGGGGTGGCAGAGGAGGACAGAAGAACGGAACGCAGTTACATAGACGGAAGGAAACGGGAGCGAAAGCAAGGGTCTTTCCAGATTAGCCCGGCCGTGTAGCCTGACATCCTTAATACAGTAGTGGCTCAGCGCACAGAAGTCCCCTGCAAGAGAGCATTTCTCCCATAGAGTTCCAGCCTCGCTGTGCTGACTCGCAGCCGCTGCCTGTACTGTAATGGGATTCCAAGAGAGTGGATATAAGGAGACACTTCTGTCTTCCGAGTGTGATTAATCTTTGGGGGGGGGAAACAATAGAATATTGTCACTAAGAGGAAAAGAGTGGGTGACGAATGTATTTTGAGCACTCCCTTCTTTTAATGTATTTTTTCCTATCGAGTCAAAATGAATTTTTTAAAGACTTTTCATGTTACTTCAGACGCGTACATCAGAGCTTGGAATTGGGGGCAACCTAAAAAAAATATTTTTGGATATGTAGAGTATTTTATAGTAGTCTCTGTTTCACACTGTATTTCTTTGACTGAAGTGAACAAATATTTGATTTATGATTGAATTTGACATCTTATTCTGCAGTTTTGTGGGTTCCAGGACCAATTAATATACTCCTGGTTTAAATGAGGCAGCTTAAGGAAATCTCCTATAAACCAGAAATGTCCAGAATATTTATAGGTGTCCGTCTCACAGCTCTGAATCGTTTTAATTCGAATGCTTGCTATAGATATAGACTCCAGCATTGAAACGAGGGCTTACATCTCCATGTGAGTGTTTATGCTGGACTGCGTTGATGCCTGGGTCACGCCCTGTTCTTTGTTAGGCGTGGTGGAGAAAAGCTTCTCCCTGGGTGAGTGAATGCGTATTGCAGGGTGCCTTTTTCTTCTCCGCCTGGGCTCTGCAGTGACACTCGTACAGCGCGGAGGGCTTGTTACAGTGCAGGTTCCTCAGCTGCCTGCTGCAGCTCCATCATATATTCAGCTTGAGTTACACATGCGGTGATTTCTCCAGAGACACATTTCAGTGATGTGCTCCTGGTGGTTTCCATTAACTTCCTGTTCATCCCTGTTCCCCTTTTTTGGTGGGGGCGGGGTGCTGTGTTAACGGGTAATTTATCTGTTTGCTGCTTTTCATTTACCTGGTTATTGTCTTGTTTTGAGGGAAATGTGGCCGTCTTGTACACTAGTGATAATTTATGACAGGTCTTTTCCACCTCTTCTGCTCTATGAAATGTTTCTATCTCTTCAGTACAGTTTTGTAACTGCAGTATAATCTTCGATTTTACACTTTCATTTAGTATTGTCTTTTATAATGAGTTTTGTTTTTAATATTATTAAAGTGAGCGTGGCTGTGTTAGGCAATCACATTTCTTTTGTCTGAAAGCATGCACTAATTCTTAACAGGCATTACGATATAGCATCTTAATATGATCTTTGAATAATAAGAAATTTACATTTTTGAACAAGCTTTGCAGCCTCTTTGAATCTGTGTCACTTTTTAGTGACGGTACATTTGTTATCTGACTTTTTTGTGCTTCAGTTCTGAGATGATGCCTAATGTAAGCTAAATCCCCTTGTGGATTATTGATCTAATCATGAAATTTTAAGGGGCTTGCCTTTCAGTAAGGAATAAAGGATTGAGGGATGGATATTGAATTGATGCTGTTTTAGTTTTTTTTTCAGTAGGCAAGAGGCAAAGGCCGATTGCTTCTGATCCAATTCATTTCTTTAATGATCAATACAGTTTAATTCCCTCAGGATGGAAATTTCCACCTTTGCTTCAGGAACAGGAACAAGAGCTCATAAGGGTTTTGAATGCTTTAGGTTTGTGGGTTTTTGAATGTGCATTTGGGTTTGTACATTTGTTTCTAGTGGCCCGTGGTACAACTGAAGTCATTTAAAGGAAAGAAAGGTATTTGAATTGCTTTTCCTATCCTTCAGTCAGCTGATAGTCCCTGATAATAAAAAAACAACACAATTTAGTCCCTTCTACTGTGATGACTTCCAGACTCCTCGCAGAATATTATGACATGATGGATTATGTTTTTAAAATTATTCCCAGTGTTTTTTTTTTTTATTTTACAGCAAAATTTCTTATTTCAAAACGGGAGTGGGAAATGCATCCTATTCTGTGCACTTTTCTGAAAGTGCCAGCCGTCGGGCAGTCTAAAATAATGGAGCCTGCCTGCTGCTCCACTCTCACTCCGACACCGCCTGTCCTTTGTGCTGTGCCTCGGATTTCAATATAATTGGTGCTTAGGGAGGAAGATCTGAAAATCTGCCAAGATTTGCTTCCTGCAGCTGCGAGCCGGGAGCTGGCTGTGTTGCAGCACTATATATCATACCACACAAAATCCAGCATGTCAGCTGGGAGATTGTAGTTTTGCTGGGTGGAAAGTGTATCAGAAATTCTGCCTGCAAGACCAGTATTGCATGTCATCACCACCATGGCTCACACTGATGTTTAGCATTGCAAAAAATCAGAGCCGAAATGAATTCTGTTTATGTGAGACGTGAAGTTATTTATAGGCGGCACAGTGACACGGTGGCTAGCGTTGTCGTGATTCAGCAATGGGTTCAATCCTGGGCCCGAGGTACTGTTTGTGGGGAGTTTGCATGTTCTCAAGTGCCAGGTTTGGTTTTCGTCCCTCAGTCCAAAGACATACTGGTTGGTTAATTGACTTCTGGGAAAACTGGCCCTGATATGAGTGTGTCTGTGTCTGTGTGTGCCTTGTGATGGACTGGCATCCCGCCCAGGGTGTATCGCGCCTTGCACCCGTTGCCTGCTGGGATAGGCTCCGGCTTCTCCGACCCCTGAATTGGAGAAAGCAGTTAGAACAGGGGTGGATTATATTTATGTACATGATTGATTTCCTTTCTGTAGGAGAAAATGTGCGAAGAGTCTACCTCGTTTGATCTGACTCCGTATGACCTTGCCACGGGGATTGAGGCTGTGAATCAGGTCCTGGTGGAGCAAGCCAGCCAGGCCGGCCAGAACGATGTGAATGAGGACTTCAACGTGGAAACTCTCAATTCAGGTTAGAATTGAGCCTGGAAAATCTCTCTCTCTCTCTGTTTCCAGTTTGCTTCTGTCCGCTGGCTCACGGGCATCTGAAACAAAGGTCACGGAGTCATCTAACATTGATCTGACACGGTACCGAGAACTCTGCTATCCATCAGTGACACAAGTTGAATTTGCTGGTATTTATTACAGATTGCTGTATTGAAGGCAGCGCTACCCCATTATATCAGAGCCCTTTGGAGTGCAGACTCAGTTATAATAGGGAAAGGTTGTGGTTCCCATTTCCTCCAGTTTGGCACCGCGTCACGAAGCGTGGAAGGCAGCAGAAAACAAAGATCTTATTCTGTCAAAGTGAAACTAGATGTGCTGAACTCTGAGAAAAGATGAAGCCTAGGCAGCATTTTCAAAAGACGCACGATGAGGAGTCTACATTGGCTAGACAAACAAAGACATTTTTTATTGTAAAATTGACACTGAAGCGGCCTGTTCCAAGGTAAAAAATAAAGCAGGGCTTTCAGCTGACTCTTTCAGTGACTTGATTCCTGCAGGAACATCAGTGGGCAATTCCAGTTTGGTGCCAGTATTGCAAGGACTTTTAAAGCAAGCATGGGGTGGTTATGAACTTTATAGAAAAGGCCATACAAGCATTTCTATGGGGAAATAAAATCTAATCATAAAGCTTCAGAAACACTCTTAGAACATTTTATAAGTGGTGGATGGGTCTGAATTTATTGTGACTCATGTTATGAAAACACTTGCTGCTTCTCTGGGTTCCCTGCTTTTGTGCTGCGGACAAAATGGTAAAGCACCGCACTTTTAATCTAAACATTGATTCAGTCAGGACTATCCAAAAAGAGAGCGCTTAGCAATTAAAAAAAA